TTACCTGAGTAAGAAAAATTGACAACTAGTCACATCATATCTATAGTACAATTTGAAGCATTTTAGCCTTAATAGGTGTAGACATGATTTCAGTAAACGATCCTACACTCCTATATTGACATGACAAAAATAATAATGACCTAACTACACATAAAAGTAGGTAGAATGGGTTTGGAATGGACATGCCGGCCATGAACAACACATCTTAGATAAATATGATTGGGACATTCGACACACGACCATAGATAACACGCCTTGAACAAGCATGACCATGATAATTAGCACTACCGGAGCTTGTTAAACTACTCTTGTTTTGATGGAAAGTGAGATTTAAAGCTAAACATTCAAGGGCTACCAATATGGTTGAACTCAATTATAATAAGGCTTATGGAAATGGATGGGGCTGTTTGAACTATTCACAAAGATGAGCATGTTGCTTATTTATGCTAGGATGTTTGAATTCAAATCGTTACTTGTTCGATAAACAAACAGATAATTCATTGAGAAACGAGCATTGAATTGATTGATCCTCGCTAGAGCGACTGCGCTGTAGCTACGTGCTTGCGATGCCATCCCTTTCCCAGCTCGTGATCTTGAATAGTTTCTTTCATGGCGTGTGTCGAGCTCGATCTAGGTGTTTCTCAAATTATGGTCTTTAAAACCTATGTCTAATCACCATCACTAATGAATGAAACAAGGTCTTCTTCAATGGAGCTCCACGTGATTTGGTTTCTGAAACAGAGTAACTTGCGAACTGTGCAAGTTCTGTTCAAATGTGCTGGAAACCTTCTTTCTTTCTTTCTTCTTCTTCTTCTTCTTCTTCATTTCCCTTCTGCCCTTTCGCTTTCGTATATTTCCCTTCAAATGCTTGCAATGGCGGAGGAATCGTAACTTGGGTTTGAGGGAAGATTTTTGGTTAATTCCTCAATGGAGGGCAGAGATTTGGAGACGTCCGAGGGGATTGAGGAGTTGGGGAAGAAGGTAGCCATTGAAGCTCCAAATGGAGCTGTGCCCTTTATGTGGAGCCTCATTTGCAATCTACCTAGCTTCACTGTTCTTTTCCTTCTCGGTATTACCAAAGGTGAGCTTCGATTACTTTCTTTTTGGGGATTCTGTGCAGTTTCATGATTGAAGCTTTTTAACAGTTGAATCCTGCCACTCAACATTTCAGGTGCGATGTTTAGTCCATTAACAAGCCTTATCATGACATTGGCAAATTCTTCTTTAATAATGGTTCTTTGGCCAATCCAAACTTTCTGGACATATTACTGCATTCTAAGGTCTTATCTCTAAACCCTTTGCTTTCCATTCTCAAAATGGATTGAGGGAAAAAAGAGTGGTCTTTCTAATGTTACAATCCTCTATTTCGCAGAGCTCAACAACTTGGTTGGGGTCTTAAACTCATTCTATGCCTTTGTGTACTGCCTGTTTTACTGCTTCTGTGGCCTGAATTTGGTGCTGTTATAAGCACTATAGGTGGAGCAGTTTACGGCTTTCTTTCTCCATTAATGGCTACATTTAATGCTGCTAAAGAAGACAAGCCTGATAAAGTATTCCACTGTCTATATGTACGTATTTCTGCTTGAACTTTGTTACTTTATATGAGATCTCATATCGATTGGAGAAGGAAACGAAACATTCCTTATAAGGGTGTGGAAACCTCTCCCAAGCAGACGCGTTTTAAAACCTTGAGGGAAGCCCAAAAGGAGAAAGCTCAAAAAGGACAATATCTGCTAGCGGTGGGCTTAGGTTGTTACAAATGGTATTAGAGCTAGACACCGAGCGGTGTGCCAGCGAGGAAGCTGGCCCCCAAGGGGGTGGATGTTGAGATCCCACATCGATTGGAGAGGGGAATGAAACATCCTTATAAGGGTGCGGAAATCTCTTCCTAGCGTACGCGTTTTAAAACCTTGTGGGGAAGCCTAAAAGGGAAAGTCCAAAAAGAGAATAATGCCTGCTAATGGTGGGTTTGGGTTGTTACACTTTCACATAATTCGTTCGTGATTCTTCCCTGATTTTATGTTACTTTCGCTTGTTGGATTTCATTTCTCCAATGAATTTCAGGATGGAACTTGGGATACCATAAAAGGGTCCTTCTTGGTTATCGGTGATTTTCGGGATGTTTGTTTACATTCTTACTTCTCCACTTTGGAGGAACTGCTACAAAAGGGAAACCCGGAGGCTGGATACTATGATATCAGGTTTGTTGGTGTCCTTCGTATAGGGAACCCGGAGGCTGTTTACTTCTGATTATCTCAGCTACTTCCAAAAGACTAATGATAAAAGCAAAAGTCAGGGCTTAACCTTTTCGTTGGTTTCTTGCAGACTGTTTGATTTCCTTTGCGCTTCCATAGTTGGAGTTCTTGGTTCTGTGGTTGATACACCAGTCATCTTACTCATTGCCCTGTATAAATGCCCTTTTATGCTAATCAAGGGGTGGCGTCGTTTATTCCACGATCTTATCGGTCGAAAAGGTCCATTCTCGGAGACAATCTGTGTTCCATTTGCAGGGCTTGCTATCTTACTCTGGCCATTAGCTGTTGTGGGTGCACTGGTTGGATCTATCATCTCCAGCATTTTCCTTGGTGCTTATGCAGGAGTGATCGTTTATCAGGTTCCAAATAGTTTCCTTGATCCTTTAATAGTTCTTTCCATCTTTGATAAGTTTAACGTCGATGGTACTCACGCCTGAGCTGTTCCTTGATCCTTTAATAGTTCTTTCCATCTTTAATAGTTCTTTGATAAGTTATTTACACAAACTCACCACTAGCAGATATTGTCCTCTTTGGGAGTTTCCTTTCGAAATTTCCCTCAAGGTTTTTAACACACGTCTACTAGGGAGAGATTTTCATACTCTTATAAAGAATATTTCATTCCCCTCTCCAACCGATGTGCGATCTCACAATCCACCTCCCTTGGGGCACAGCGTCCTCGCTAGCACACCACCTAGTGTCTGACTCTAATACTATTTATAACAGCTCAAGCCCTCCGCTAACAGATATTGTCTTCTTTGGGTTTTCCCTCAAGGTTTTTAAAACGCATCTGTTAGGGAGAGGTTTACACACCCTGATAAGAAATGCTTCGTTCTGCTCTTCTTCCAACGTGGGATCTCACACAATCAATCTCTCTTTTCTCAATCATTATACTTGAGTCAATGAATGCAGCAGAAGTCATTGTTAGATTCGTTATTAACTGCTAGTGTTTGAGTTGTAGGAATCTTCTTTTTGGTTGGGGCTTTGCTATATTCTGGCATCCATCTCCATTTACGACGAATACAGCAATGACTTCCTAGACATGGCCAATGGCTCCTGTTTTCCCAGGTATTCTCCTACCCTCAAAAAACCACTCTTTTAACTGCACAACAGAACATAATATTGTTTCCATGTTTTTTTCAATACGAAAAGACCGGTATATCGGAAGAAGGATATGCAGCCACCGGATAAGTCACAAGAAGCTCAATCTGTTAGACGTTGTCCCTCTCTTACAGATTTGGTCAAGAACATCATGCTTGAGCTAAAACCTTTGGAGGTACTTAGCTTTCATTATGAATACTTGAATAATGTTGTTCTTTAGAGCTCAGAAGTTCGATCCCTGCTCTCTTCTGTAGCTTCTCGATAATTTTTCTAAGGAGTGTAAGCGGCAAGGGATACTTATGGTCTCCAAGGGATTAATAACGCTTGAAGATATTGAACATGCCAAATCCAATAATGACACTACAGTTCTTAGCATTGGCTTACCAGCTTACTGTCTTCTTCAGACGATCATTCGATCAGCAAAAGCCGATTCAGCTGGATTACTTCTGAGTAAGTTTCAATTCTCCTTTTTGGTGACTTTGAGAATCTCAAAATGTTCAAAACTATTCGGGTTTCCATTGATTTAGGTGATGAAGCTACGGAGATTACTAGTGAAAACAGACCTCAAGAAATATTCTATGATTGGTTTCTGAACCCTCTTCTAATCATCAAAGAACAAATAAAGGCAATAAATATGTCTGAGCAGGAAGAGGAGTACCTCTCTAGATTAGTTCTGCTGGGCGATGATCCCATCAGGATGAAAGATTCGAACCTCAGCCTGCCACCAGAATCCAAATGCAAGTGTGCCGAACTCGAGGCTTTGGCTCGAAGGTAAGTACCTGCAAAATCTTGCTACATCATCCAATGAAATCTGGTAATTCTCAGTAATAACAGGAGCTATTTCTGTCCACCATGAAGGCTTCGAGGGATTACCAGATTGATATCGAGGTTTCCGACATTTAAACGCCGGTTTGCTAGTCTTGTCGATGCTGTTTATGAAGATATCATCAAGAAGAATGATAGAAGCAGACCAAGTAGTAGAAGGAAAATTTCAAAATCACAGAGTGCCATTGGGAGGTTCCTAAGCCAGATATCCTTCAAAAACAAAACAGGAAATGATGAGACCGATCAAGAACCAAATGTAGTTGACAAAGATGTGGAAAGCAAACTAACTTAGCTTTCTTCAACTGTAATCTTTTCAGTTTCTGCTATCTAAGTGTTCATGAGTGTCCTTGAAATCTTAGCTTTGTTCTAGAAGATTGACTATTAGAATTGTATTACATAATAAATATGATTCAGCCATTGTCTTCTTAGGGTAAGTGTTCATCAGTTCATATCTATCTATATACAGGATTTTCAGTAAAATTGTTACGAACCCAGAAAGTCTGAAATTCTCTGAAAGAAGAAGAAGATGAGGAAGAAGAAGAATTACTCTGATTATCTTCTGCTTTCCCACGATCCGAACAGGAAAAGCCAGAACGATTCGTAGCCCATTTCCCGAAATTGTAGCCAGAACGTGCCATCAGCCATGGATGAACAAACTCAAGCACACTTCCAAAACCGCCAACTGCCCTGTTTCTCCATCACTAGCAATATTCAAACTCCCCTCAACTGCCATTTTCTTCACTATAAATTCCCTCCTCCCCTAAGCTTCCATCGTCATACACTGTTCTATTCGCTCCAAGTTTCAACTCCTTAGAGCTACCATCAATGGCTTCCAACTCGATGAATTTCTTCACAACTCTGCTCCTTCTCACCACCTGCCTCTCCTATGTTGCTTCTTTTGAGTTTCAAGTGGGTGACACCAAAGGCTGGGTGGTTCCGCCGGCCAACGACACCAGAATCTACAACGACTGGGCCTCAGAAAACAGATTCCGAGCTGAAGACTCCGTCCGTGAGTCCCGATCATCTCAACAACACCGTCCGATTAAACTTCCCTTCTGCATTAACATTTTCTATGTTTGTTTCTTGTTTTGCGGATTAGGTTTCCGGTACAAGAAGGACTCGGTGATGGAAGTGACAGAAGAAGAGTACAAGAGATGCAACTCCACACAGCCGAGCTTCTTCTCCAACACCGGCAACACTGTGTTCCATTTCGGCCGATCGGGAACCTTCTACTTCATCAGCGGCGCCAATGGACACTGCGAGAGGGGACAGAGAATGATCGTGAAGGTGATGGCCCAAGATGAAGCTTCCTCCACCTCCTCTAATTCCGAGAAATCCTCTGCTGCTAGGATTCGAACTTCGTCACTAGGGTCTCTGAAATTCGTATTCACTCCATTAGCTGTGTGGGGTTTTGCTTCAATCCTGTTGTAGTTTGGGATTTGTCGGATCGATGGCTTCTTGTTTCTTCATCATCTTGAAGATTTCGTGTTATTTGTGATAGAATGCGTTTGTTTTGATTATGGATTATCGTTGAAATTTCATACTGATTTCTTCTTATATCTCTCCGTCTCTCTCTCTCTCTCTAGAATTTATTGAAAAATAATTAAATAAAAAAATAGATGGATAAGTACTCACTGAACATAATCGATCCATCAGTGGAGCTCCGTTCAATTGCGCCACCGATGAGCTCAGTTCCATCACCTCCATCTCCATTCCAATCCCCTCTCAGTTTCAACCACAAGAAATCTGCTCCTCCTCCTCTTCTAATCTCCCAATCTTTCACTCTCACTCGAACTCCCAGAACCACGCTCTGTTTCCCTCTTCGCGTCTCATCTTTGTCTTCTTCTTCAAATAATCCGGTTGACACCCTTCAATCCGCTTCTGATGTCGTCAGGGGATTCTACGATGGCGTCAACCGCCACGACCTCGCCTCCGTCGAGGATCTCATCGCTGAGAATTGCGTTTACGAGGACCTTATCTTTTCTCGCCCTTTCGTCGGCCGCAAGGTACGTACCCGTCGGCCTTCTCAATCTCTTATGCCATTGTATCGTTTGGGATTTTTGCGATTCTCTGTCCAATTACTGCAGGACATTCTGATTTTCTTCAAAAAGTTCAACGATTCCATCAGTAAGGATCTCCAGTTTGTTATTGACGATATATCCACCCAAGATTCATCAGCTGTGGGTGTTCTTTGGCATTTAGGTATTCCTTTTTCTTGGCTTTTCGGATACAGTTCAAATCAGAAAATCATTATGAAAAATGTTGGAATTGATTACAGAATGGAAAGGGAAAGAGTTTCCTTTCAGCAAGGGATGCAGCTTTTATCGCTTGGTTGTTGGTGATGCCAAGAAGAGACAAATAATGTAAGTTGCATAAGATAGTGTTGAGTATACAAAGATGAAGCTTCAAATTGGTCTCTACTGGTACTAACTTCATCCATTTTTACTGCGCCGTTGTCTCAATTAACAGCTATGCACGAGACAGCGTTGAGCCTGCGTTGAAGCCTGGGGAGATGGCTTTGGTATGTTAATGTTGCTTGCTTTCTTTCTTTCTTGTTCATAAATATTGGTCAGCTGTGCCTCCTGTGTTTATCTTATCTATCTTATCGTAGTTGTTAGATTAGATTCTGACGAGGGAAACACATCTTACATCTTACCTTCTCATTTACTTATAAAAGTATGGAAACCTTTTTGTAGTAGACGAGTTTTAAAAACTTTGAGAGGAAGCTCGAAAGAGTAATCTAAAAACTTGAGCTTGGACTGTTACAAGTAAGCCCGAGCTCGGTTGAAGGAGGCTTTGATATGGAGTGTTTTGACTTTATGAAGTGGTTTAAAGGTGTTTGTAGTTTACTAGCATCATAGCTTCCATGGAATCACCTTCTAAGAGCTTAAAAACATTTAAAAAAATATTTTTTTAAGCCTTTAGAAAGTTGTTCTAGTTCGAGTGCTCTACCCATCTTAGTTTGCAATTGCTATCTCACTCAACTTATCCTTGATTCTCTTTGCATCACATGGATCTGGATGATAATTCACAGTGTAAATACCCATTTAGAAGCTACCTTCTGAGTTCTTGTGCTTCTAGTAATTTGGTTCATTTTCTTACCATACAGACAATCATTAGAGGTGTGACTTGGCTTCTGGAACGATTCCCCCAGCTAGCAGATCGTATATAATTCTACTCTCTTTGAAGGAACAATTCATTACTGTATTACGAATTTACAATCAATATTCTTCAGTACATAGTTCTATTAAGCAAGGTCGAATTGTATAAATCCTTACATTATCTATAAAGATTAATAAGGATTTCACTTTCCCTCAAACATCTATCTATGCATTAAATTAGAATCAGTCAACCTTCAATGCCAACCTTCACAGATTCTAATTTTATTATTAGAAAAAGGAGGCAACTTTGAAGGCATAATGGTTCATGGTCGGCAGGCCAACTCCAGAAATTGGTCTGATCTGATCCATTTGTCTTTAAAATTTTCATTTTGTTTACATAAAATATATACAAAAAGAAGTTGAGATGTCAACTATCAAGGGCTTGGTCGACGCGCTATTTAGAGTGGGTCGCAATCAAAGTCCTTGCCTCCCAAGCATCTTTCCTTCACCAAAATTTATATAACTCCAAACCATTCCTCTTCTTTCCTTCAAACCTTTCTTTCCTCAGCTCAATTTTAGCAGTCCAAAATGAAGAGGGAAGGTCGCCAACATGGCATGGTAAGAACCTACCGGATCATCCCATCCCCATGGAACCCAAGACCCAAAACTCGGTTCGTTAACGAACTCGATTTCCCTCCTACTGCTGGCCTTTTCACAAAGGTTTCATCCAAGCCTACCAATCACTCCAAGTTCACTGGAAAATGTGGCAAGCCCCGATGCTCTGGCTGCAGGCTACACCCAGTTCAAAAGGCCAAGGATAAAGCTAAGGGATCTAATAAGTTCAAGGCACACCATCTCCTCGATGACTGCTCGCTGATGGTTACCTTTGATGAATGCCCCAGCTTCATCGACGACGATGATGATGATGATGATCAGACGCAGAAAGTAACAGATTTCGAATCAAGGGTCGAAGATATTCGTCGTCATGTGGATGATGACGATGAAATGAGTTACTGTGAAGTTGAGTTGGTCGTGGACGAAGCCATGGAGGGAGGTGATATTTGGTGTTTGGTAGAAGAAAGACCAGCAATCTAACAGACAACAAGGCAGATAAAAGTAAAAGACGCCTTCCATTCATGGCTTTAATGCGCTTTTATCAATGTGGATATGAATAATGGTTTCACTTTGTATATCTAACTCTGTTCTTTGGATACCAATGTCACTATTTTCTATTTTGACAACTTCTGTTGTAACTCTTTGTTGAATTCTGATGAATAAATGATATCTTCATAGCAATCAAATCATTGTTCTCTACATATACTGATATTTTTAACAAGGCTTTGTTACATAAAAATTGACAGATATACCACAAAATGGATCCACTGTGGTTAGGACGTCAAGATCTGGTAACCTCATGAATAAATGGACTGAAAAATATTGAGTAGCCTACTGCAGCTTGACTTTCACTGCTGAATGTTAGGAGATATATTCTCATGAGCAGACATTAAAGTTTGTAATGACGTAGAACGAGCCTTTCCCTGCACATTCTTACTCATGCTTCTGCTGCTCTTAACGGGAGGCTTATGGCAAGAATGGGCCATCGTAGCTTCTCCAGTTTGGGAGTTGGAGCTTCTTCCTAGTTTTGGTGATGGAGGATGAGGCTTGGGAACCTCCTAAGAAACAAAGGGACAGAAGTATTTATACCAATTCATTGCACGTTGTATTAGGCTATTAGCACATGGGACTTACCTCGTTTTTATGTGCTTTTCGCTCCTTGTAAAAGCTCGGCAGTGGCCTGGCTTTGAAGCAGAAGCTTTGACGTAATTTCGTTATCTCTGTTTCGGCTTTCTCCTGCAGGAATATTAGTCCGTTGAGTCATGGCTTGCAGTATATGTCGAGGATTGTTGGATGGGAGTCCCACGTCAGCAAGTAAGGAATACATTTCTATTGATACCAGACCTTTTGAAAAAACTAAAAGTAAAGTCACTAGAGCTTATGCTCACTTAATAAATAGATACCTTTAGTTTTGTTTGAAGTTGCACCTTTTTGTGTGACTCATTTTTGTTGAACTTCTCTTCAAGTTTCTGTAGGTATTAAGAAGAAACAAGCAACCAAAATTAGCACTTGAACTGACAGAGTTTAAGGTACATGAGAAGTATGCAGCAAAAGCTTGCCTCCTTTCGTCTGGCTGCTCTTTCATCGGTTCTCAAGCTGAAAGTGGAGAATGAAAATGGCGAGTACAATTTGTTTCTGCAGTTATTAACACAAGAATGTTGATCAGCTATCTCCAAACAAAATGAATAGTATAAGATGACACTTCAGTTATTGCAGATTCATGAGAAAAGCAACCTCTTCGTTTCTGAGCAGGGAGTAGCAGAAGGATGGTTTTGGTACTCATTCTTCAATGCCTGCAAATAACCAAATATTACAGAAAGATTTAGAACAAAATCCCCATATTCAGAAGATAAATTCACAGACGAAAAGTGTGGCAACCATATCCGGGGTCCTAAGAGGGGTTGAGCAATCTTTAGCTGGTTTTGAAGAACTGGACCCAACTCTTGAACGTTCAATCTTTCTCATCACAGTTGAAGTTAACTTGTTGAGCTCTCGAATGGGTGTAAAGTTAGCCATCCTTAGAGATTTAGGAGTAGATTTCCTTTTTGGAGTGGCATTGTTGAGAGAGGAAGCTGGAGCCATTGGATGGGCTGGTGTAGTAGGTGGGATCGCAGATGATCTACTGAAAAATGGAAGCTTTGAAGACGAAGCAGCCACTTTCTTCTTGCTAATGGTGGTCGATTGCTCCAAATTCTCAACCTTTCGACGAATTCCCTCGTTCACTTGGTGGGTAATGGCTGAACCACCTCCCTCAACCTCCCTGCTATCAGTTCTCTCCTCCTTAAGATCAGAAGGGTCGCCGCAGCCATCGCCATTGTCATTGGCAGCAAAATGTTGTGCAGTTTCAGTTGCAGCGACAACCTCTTGATGCTCAACATCATCAACATTCTGTTTTGTGTCAGTTTCTTCGGCGGCTTTCGCAGCAGCAGCAGCAGCTCGCTGAGCAGCAAGGTTCTTGTAATGAGCTTCAAAGAAAGCTTTCTTCTGCGCAACAGATCCAGGACGAGCGAACTTCTCGGCCTCTTCCACATAACGATTGTGGGAAAACGTGGACCATTTCTCCCAATCTAATGACTCCGACATGAACCTCCCGAAGGAGACCGATTGAGCAAGACCATGAGTCGGACGATTACCCTATAAGAAACAGAGAAAAACAGAGATTAAACGATTGAAATCGAATCGAATTCAAACAAAATGCACAAAATTAACTGAGTGACTGACTGACTGACCGACCTCCATGGATTCATTGGGAAATCCAGAAGTATAAGAGAAAGGGTGCTGCATGATGCAAGTTGAATCCGCCATGGAAGCTCCAACTGCAAGAAAGAATCCAAGCTCAAGAAATGCTTGCTTGGGGTTCCAAATTTGAATTTCAAACCAGAGAAAAAGAAGATCGGGTACAAGAGTAAAAAAAGTGAAAAGCAAAAACAGGAAGATCTGGTTCTGCAATTTTCTTTATCTATACAGTAAAACAATACTTTTTTCTGTAAATTATTTTTCATAACTTGTTAAGATTCAAGACCCATTTCAAATTTCCAGATATAAATGAACAAAGTTGCATTAAATTTCAGTCAAATTGTTGATTACAATTTAGGGAAAAAGATGAGCTCAAATGTTTTTATTAAAAATTTGTACACTCAGATAAGATTAAGAAAATTATGGGTATTACTTTATTTGGAAATGGGTCCCACCCAACACCTTACTTCAACGGCCACATTTTTTTAAGGACAATTGAAATTTAAATCTCTAAAACGGCTCTACTCAACCTAATAAATAAACAAGTCCAGTGGAAATTGTCCTTTTTTTTTTTTTTATTGGGTTTTTAATTTTTGGGTTTATTTTTGTTAAAAAAAAAAGAGTTGATATACCATTTAGATTCGAGAATTTCGACCCCATGTAACCCATTTCTTAAAAAGATCGACGTACATTCTAAACCATGCATATTTAAAAAATATATATATCAAATTTAGCAACCAATGAACTATAGTTATACAAAATAAAAGATAGAGAATACTTAAAAAGTTGTTACATTATAAACAGATTGAAGTTTATACTTAGATCACACATATAATTTCAATGGAAAAAGAATAAATTGTTGACATTTACATGCATATTTTCTTACAAAAATATAAACTTTGGGCTGAGTTGCAGCACTTATGTTCCTGTTGATATCCAGCAACATGCATAGGCTTATTAGGCCTTTTGTATTTGTGTGGAAGGGCCTTCTCTGCCAAATCTTAGTAGCCCATCGACATAGTAATAACGGACGAACAACCAAATGTTTTAGCCCAGTTTAAGGGTAGCTACACAACTTTCCATAATTTTATGATATTATCTTCTTTGAGCATAAGCTCTCATAATTTTGCTTTGAACTTTCCTAAAATGCTCCATACCAATAAAGAGAATATTCTTTATAAAAATGTAGAAATCTCTTTTTAGCAGACGCGCTCTAAACATCAACTCCGAAAGGACATGGGATAGGAATAAAGCAGCCAAAGCATTTATAATGTCATTCTTGCTGGCGTGCCACTGATGGTGACGCTTTACCAAACCCCCACGATGGCCCCATCCGCCGTTTCCCACCTTTCTCTCTATTTTTTTATTTTTTATTTTTTTACTTAATTACTTCTACTCTCTCCTTAATAATAATAAATAATTATTATTATTATTATTTACCTTTTTATAATCTTGTTGTAATCAATATATATTCTTTCCCACCGAAAGTCGCCTTCATCTTACTCAACAAACAAAATTGCTGCTCTTCCTCTTTTCTTATATTATAATTATTCTTATTTAATTCAAAATAACACGTCACCAATTTTTTCCTTTTCATATAATATATAAGTTGGTTGGTGTTTGAATTTTAAAAATTTATTATGAAGGGTTTACCTTCAATTTTCTGATTTTTTTTTTAATTTATACATTCATTTATTAAATTATTACTCTATACAAAATAAAAAAATATATATTATATATATTTAAGAATTAAAAAATATATAATTGATAATTATTATTTTTTTACCTCTTTAGTAAGGAAGGATAGGATATCACTCTTTTATCAAAGATGATAGAAAGCCTCAAAAGATAAGAATTGAGAGTGGGGCCCACACAGCGATGAAATATTTGGATTTTAGTATTAAATTGGGGTTTGGTGTGGGCCCCACTTTCAACTCAATCTCGTACGTGCTTTGACCTTTTGAATTTTCCCCTTCTTTTTTTTCCTCAATAAATAAATAAATAATAATAATAATTACCCATTTACTTCCCTTTTACTAATTTACTTTCAAAATAATAATAATATATTTTTTTTTTTAATTATTTTTTAGAATACATTTTAAAAAATTCATTAAAATTAATTCTTATATTAAAATTTGATAGAGTTCTTCAATTATTAACGTTTTTATTGATACTCTTTTTATCTATGTTTTTTCAACTATCCATAAATTTATTTTTTAAAAATTAAATAGAATATATTGTGATATAGCGATTCTTCAAATATTACTTTAATATTAAATAAATAATCATGTACCTCACTTTACATTAATTAACCTTATAAATTCAACTCTAACCCGGCCTTCATTCACTAGTTACTCATGGATACTAATTGAATATCATATTAATATTTTAAAGTCACTAATAGTTATTAAAATAATAAACTCTCAGATCTTAGATATTCTTTTGATCGACTTTAAAACGGTAGTTCATTGGAGTTTTTAAGAAGCCTAGTGTCCTCGTTTATTAATATATAGTGTTTGACTTGATACCATTTATAACAGTCTAGTAGATATTGTCTATTTTAAAGCGTTCAGTTTGAGTAAAAAATTGTCATATTAACCATTAAAATCCACTAAAATTAGGAGCAACGACTTTAGGAAATGGAAATTTATTTTAATATTTATTTATTTTTAGTATTATATTATTTGGGTCAAATGGAGCACCGATATTGATAGCCAATGAAGGGATGAACCTACTACAATTTTAAAACGTTATATAAAGTTTTTTTTTTTTTTTTTTTTAAAAAAAAACACTACAATATTTTAAATTTTTTAAAAGAAGATAATGTTATGGTTCAACATTAATTTCTTCAAACTAATTATCAACCCAACTTTATTCTTCTGATAAAACAAACTTTAGAATTTTGGTAGGTGAAAAAAGTAAAAAAAAAAAAAAATGCATCTTTGACACAATGTTCTATCATATATTATTAAACCTAAGTCTTAGATTAAAAATGATTCCAATATATACTTGAGTTTGTATCTTTTTACCTTTTTTTTTCTCGTAAAAAAAAAATTACCTTTAGTTATAAGTTGAAATGATGTATTAGAAGTGAAATGTTGCAGTTTATCTGTAAGACAGTTCGAGTACGTTTTTACAAGTTAGCTTGGGATGTGATATGCTAAGTAGGCATAGATTGTGACAGCACGCCATAAAACACATGTTTCATACACTAGTTGGATTTGATATTTGTCTACCCTATACTATAAAATGATTCAAATGCTTAAAGAGACATTCTTAGATATGTTTCGATGCTTGAGTTAAATAAGTTAATTAGGTAAAGGCAGCATGTTCTGATGCTCCAATTTACCTAACTTAGGTGGCTTATCATTCCTCCCTCGATTAACATTAATTAGGCAAGTGTTAGCCGTTTTATTGGTTTGAGTAATTTGAGCTAAATAGCTTAGCTTGTAATAAAACTTGTATTAGACTTAGAATGTAACGGCCCAGATCCACTGTTAGCAGATATTGTCCTCTTAAGACTTTCTCTCAAGGCTTTAAAACTCGTCTGCTAAGGAAGGTTTCCACACCTTTATCAACGGTGGTTTGTTCTTCTCCATAACTAATGTGAGACATCACAATCCACCCCTCTCCCCCTTTCGGAACCCAGCGTCCTCGCTGGCACTCTTTCCTTCCTCCAATCCCCTTTGGAGCCAGCGTCCTTACTGGCACACCACCTCGTGTCTACCCCACTTCGGGGAACAGTGAGAAGGCTGGCACATCGTCCGGAATCTAACTCTGTTACCATTTGTAACGGTCAAGATCCGCCGCTACCAGATATTGTCCTTAGGATTGTGATATCCCACATAGATTGAGAAGGAGAACAAACCATCATTTATAAGGGTGTGGAAACCTTCCCCCAGCAGACGCATGTTAAAGCCTTAAGGGAAAGCCCGAAAGAGAAAGTTCAAAGAGGATAATATCTACTAGCGATGAATCTAAGCCGTTACATAGAAAACTTAATACCGAACTGAGGAAAGAAAAAGGCATATGAATTTGTGCATTATTTTATGATTATTCATAATTTTAATGATTAAGGAAAAGACAAAATGTTGTTAGAAAAAATAATAATGATATAAAGAAATAAAAGATTCTTCTCTTTTCGGTTGCTTTTGGACTTCCTTCCTCACTTGCATTCCAAGTCAAAATCCTCTAATCATTTCCCAAATCTTATTTCCATTAACTCATAAATATTATTAATCTTTTATTTAATTATTCCTTAAATAATTCTTCAATTTCTCCATTAACATTCCACAATTAATCTTTTCTAAAAAAAAAATCATCAAAATAATTTCAACTATATTTAATATGTCACGTAACGAATTTAGTCTTCCCATGTAACCCAATCATTATAAGAAACGTGGTCGGGTCATAACTTGAACCCACTAAGACGAGATAATACCGAAATTAAATAGATTGAGATGAAGGCTTGCATGTAGGGACAACATTGACGTAATCCAAAGTGAACTATTTCATTCATTACTAAAAGGTACGTAATCTTACTTTAGCTTACCTCATACAAGCTCGAACTTAATATTGTATCAAGGAGATTCTATTTCAAGTTAACACCTCAAACAACACGTCAATCGTGCCCTCTTCCTCAAAACCCGACACCAAACATTCAACATAAAATTTAATTCATGCACGAAAGAAATTCAATCGATAAGGGAAATGTGAGGCGAAACCCAAAAACTTAGAAAAAAAAAAAAAAAATAGTAGGTCCAAGTGGTCCAGAATAGGTCAAAAAGACGAGCTCAACGTACGAGGGTAAAATAGTAATTTAACTCCAAAATTACTTTTACCAGCTACCTGTCTACTATAATAGAAGTCACTGTCTCTCTCTCTCTCCCTATTTTTTAGTTGCAATTCTTTTTTTCAATATTTTTACCGCCAGAGGAAATTACGATAAATAGTTAAATTTTAATTTAACTTTTTCATTCAAGGGTTGTTAAAGTCTTTTTACGAATTAATTAGCATATAAAATATCACATCACATATCTAGTTTTGTTGACAAGATATACTAATTATTGGATTAATAAAAGTTGACAAGTAATCGATTAATATAATAATTAATAAATAATAATTTTGCGTAGCATATAATAAATAAATAATATATTTTAATAATTATTACGCATGGTATTGAACATAATTGTATTCATATATTATTTGAAATAAATAAATTCTTTTATGAATATATCCCACTTTGTGAATATAGAGGTTAGATTTAAGAATTGAATTCAAGCAGGCGGCTCTCTCTGTC